ACACACACACATATATGTATGTATATATATATATACATGCATCCATACATACATAGATACATACATACATGCATACATACATACATACATACATACATACATGTATACATAAATGCATGCATGAATGAATGCATGCATGCATGCATGCATGCATGCATGCAGACGTGCGAACATATATTGTTATGTCTAACCATCCATCCAAACGTCCGTCCATTCATATAAGCCCCTCGGACTCCAAACACAAAAACTTTAAAAAGTACCAACATGACAAATGATTCAACGTAGGTACCTCCCCAACAATCGAGATTGCCGGAACCCGGAATTGGGCTTGTGGGGTTCAGAGTGTAGGGGTTCAGGGCTTGGGGTTTAGAGCTTGAGGGTTTGGTTTAGAGGCATTGGGTCTGTCCAAATTTCCAGCTGTTTTGGCCCGGGAAACCTGGGACCTCAAGCTGCGATCTTTTAAGTTACCGTGCCCCCAAAGAAACCGCGAAGTCTGAATTCTGCATTGAAATCCGGAGCCCCAAGCCCACTCTGAACCCCTTCTAAGCTTTTGCATCCGAAAGAAAGGTGTGAGCCCGGCGCCTGTCCAGCGGTGAGGCCACTACTGTCCGCGTCCATCATGCACCATCCGTCATTGGAGCCGCCAGGGCCGTACCTTCGTGCTTAATACGGGAGCCTGGATAGTTAGAACAGGTCTTAGGGGTATAAACATGACAGAGGTAAAAGTACGGAGCCCTAATTAAGTAGTGCTATAGGCCAGGTAATTGTTCCAGGCCTATCTTTGTCCGGCTCTGCTGCCTGTTACAGTCTTGAAGCGGCTTGAAGGTTCAGGATGTTACATACTTGGTTGTAGCAAGGCCCTAAACCCTAAACCGAAACCCTAAACCCCTAAACCGCAAGGCCAAAAACCCTAAACCCTAAACCCTTAAACCGCAAGGCCCTAAACCCTAAACCCTAAACCTCTAAACCGTATTACAAGGATCCTACAGAAAGGAGGCCGCTTAGGCCGAAGGCTGGGTTTGGGGTTTAAGGTTCAGGGTTTAGGGTTTAGGGTCTTAGGGTCTTAGGGTTGAGGGCTTTAAGGGGTTTAGGGCTTAGGGTTTTAGAATTAGGGTTTAGGGTTTAGGCTGCTGCTCATACGAAACACAATCCTAAAGAGGTCCGAAGAGGCTAAGTTACACGCGTACCTACTTACTTATCAACCTTATCCTTTTATCCTAGACATCTCATCGTACTATGACACGCCCGAAAACACCTGTTCTTAGTATACTTGAGGCCCCCATGCTGAACCCTTTGGTTAGTAACTGCTACAGAATCGGAAAGACGCGTTCGAAGTGTTAAACCCCGCCGGTTGGTTCGGGTGCCAAAGTTTCGGTGGAGAAGGTGTGGGATTAGGTCTGGTTTGGGTTCAGGGTTCAGGGTTCAGGGTTCAGGGTTCAGGGTTTAGGGTTTAGGGTTTGGGGTTTAGGGTTTCGGGTCTGGTTTGGGTTCAGGGTTCAGGGTTTAGGTCTTGGTTTGGGTGTGGGGTTGATGGTGCCCAGGCTTGGATTAACACGTCAACGGGCTAAGGCATGCTTTTAGTTTACACAACGACCAAACCTGAAACCCATACACCCCAAACTCTGAACCCAAAACCAGCATTTCGGGCTTCAAGCTTCTTGTGCCGAATGGCCGAAGCTTTTCATGGCCTTTTTTGGACTTTGGTACATCTGCAAGCCACGCCCCTAACTTTCGGGGGCCTTAAACAGATTAATATATAGCTCTACAGAATACGAGCATGAATTGATTGTTCAAGCGTCTATATAACCTCGTGGCTTGGGAGCATCAACTCATCGAAAACCACCACTTCTGACGGCTTGGTGTTTAGGGTTTAGGGGTTGGCGGGTTCAGGATTTAGGGCTAAGGAGTTGAGCGATTTGGGGGTTTGGGGGGGTAAGGGGGTAAGGGATCGAGCTTCCTTATGCTGCAGGATTTGGAGAGAAAGGAAATCCAACGTTACCTGCTGCAACAAATCCCTTGTGCACGGGTTCCAGAATATCTAAGGACTTATGTAGCGAAGTAGTCTCCATATTAGCCCCAATAACCTACAAGGGTCCC